ATGACAAACCACAGTGTAGCAGGACTCTGATCTCCCCCTGGTGTGGGGGCTCTATAATTATCAGTATAGCCTAAAACTACATTAGCTTTGGAGCACTTGTGTCAGATCATGTTTTTGATGGGATAAAAGTATCCTGTGTGCCCTGCTCACCCCCATCATAAGAGCCCTAGGGCAGAAGCTCTTAGCCATGTTTCCTTCCCTCCCACACCTGCCTGGTTCATTCAGCCCTCTGAAATGCATGAACAAGCCCTCAATATTTAAACTTGCTCCAGACGGGTCAGGAGGTAGAAAAGCCATTCTCTCCCTCAATAACTGGTTTGGTCTTGTAGGAAGAAAACCAGACTGGGAGGCTGAAGGCCCAGGTTCCAGATTTACTCTAGCTCTGTGACCCAAAATCACTCGATACTCAGCACCAGTATCTTGATCTGAAAAATGATAATAGTTATTTTATGTCTGCTGCAAGGATCCAGTGAAAGACTTGTGCAAGTAGGGAGCGCCCTGTGCTGGGTTTAATTTTCTGCTGTGGTTGGCTTGAAATTCTTTTTTTTAAGAGTTTATTTTTATTTTTATTTTTTTTGAGAGAGTGCATGAGCAAGAGGAGGGGCAGAGGGACAAGCAGACTCCCTGCTGAGTGTGGAGCCTGACATGGGGCTCAATCCCAGGACCCTCAGATCATGACCTAAGCTGAAGTCAGACGCTTAACTGACTGAGCCACCCTGGTGCCCCTTGACTTGAAATTCTTAATTTTTGTAGGAGGAGCTGTGCATCTTCATTGTGCACTGAGCCCTGCAAATCATGTAGCTTCGTCCTGCCTATATGACCTCTCTGGGCTCCAATCTATAATTAATTGAATTGTTAGGAAATAGACAACCCTCAATCCTTCTTCTACTCTACCTATTAGTAAAATTTGACACAATTGATCACTCCTTTCTCCTTGAAACATCTTTTCCATGTGGCTTCTGGGACACTATACTTTTCTGGTTTTCCTCTGCTTCACTGGCTGTTCCTTTGTTGTTTCCTCCCTAATCCGTTAGCATGTCCCAAACTAAACTCCTCATCTCCTGCAAGCCTGCTCCTCCCAGCCTTCCTCATGTATTAATGGTAACTCCATCCTTCCAGTTGCTCAGACCAAAACCCTTGTCTTAGTCTTTGACTATCTCTCACTCCATATCCAACTTGGAAGCTACTCCAGAATCTGACCACTTCTCCACCACTCCCGTCACAGTTCAAGGCTTAATCACAGCTCACTTGGATTATTGCAAGACCCTTCTAACTGGTCTCCCTGCTTCCGCCGCCGCCTCCTCCATTGCTGAGTCTATTTTCCACACAGTAGTCAGAATAATCCTTTAAATATATAAGTCAGATCATATCAGTCTTCTCTTCAAAACCATCCCATGACTATCCATCTCAATCAGAGTAGAAATCCCTACAAGATGCAACAAACTTACCCCTCTGAACCTATTTCCTACCACTGCAGGCCATTTGCCCATGTCTCTTTGCCTGGAATGCCCTCCCAGCTATCAGCCTGGCTGGCCCCTCCTTCAGTTCTGCTCAACTGTCACGCTATCCATCAAGCCTTCCTTGACCACCCTATTTAAATAGTAACCAGCATCGACCTTCCCCTCATTCCTTAGCCTATTGTTCCCTGCTCAATTTTCTCCAAAACACTCATCACCATCTGATATATTTTTTAAAAATTTGCTTAATGTTTCTCTCTCCGCATTAGACTGTAGACTGTACGGGCAGGGGCTTTTGTCTTTTAGCTGCCATATCTCCAGCACATAGGACGGTGCAGTGAATGACCGTAGGCAGAGTTCTGGAACAGACAATGGGATTACTATTATTAAGTCATAGCCAGGTCAGGTCCTCTGAGTGTACAAAGTACTTTCACAGGCTGCATGCCCCGCATATAGGAGTGTGGGCATTTATGGGGGGCTCCTGTGACAGCCTCTCACTAGATTACACTGTGGGGATGGAAAGGTGAGTCAGGAGAGGTGACTACCCCCTAAGAGTTTGACGCTTAGAGAGAGGTTTCACGTGTGTTTATATGCCAATAACTCTAGAACCAGGCAGCATTTGTTAAAAAATATCCAGCCTTTAATGGCTAACATCTCACATTCTGGTAATGACTCCAGAGTTTTCTACAGAGAGAAGGAACAATGAACTATGGCTTTTGAACTTACTGTGTGGCTACTTCTGTCCCAGACAAGTTCCTGCTCTGGCCTGCTTATCACATCAAAGACACCTTGCTCAACTTCCAATCTAGTTTGCTCCAAAGTCCCTCCACTGGCCCCCTCCACCCAATATTGGCCCTACTACTGTTAACTTGAGACCCCGCCCTCTCATAGTCCCTCCACATTCTGCTTCTAGATAAAGGGAACATGAGGCAGGAGTGGAATCAACTTAGGAAGCCTGCAGCAGGCTAACGTATCTATTATTTCCTTACAATAAAGATGTGTATGTCTATCTTGAGCATATGGTGCCCAGAATTCAGGGACCACATCTGTTGGTCTTTGCGTCCTGACAGTCTTGGTCAACATTTGGCACAGTACGTGCCATTCCCTAAGGTTTGCCGAATCATTGAACTGAATGTAATTAGCCCTGAGTAAGGATCATTCTAATTAAGAAGTACTTCTGCGCATGGAGCACTGGGTGTTATACGCAAACAATGAATCATGGAACACTACATCAAAAACTAATGACGTAATGTATGGTGATTAACATAAAAAAAAAAAGTACTTCTGCATCTTCTGTAAGGTACCCCAGAGATATTTTATGAGGTTATTTTATTGAGCTATCATAAGAAACAACCAGTACGAATTAAAACATCAAATAAAGGGACCAATATTTGAAATACCAGTTTAAATGATAAACACTACCACTTTAAATTTTTTTTTTAATTTTTTATTCAGTTAGCCAACATATTACTCTAAAATTTTTGAATTTATACTTGATTTCTTTAAACCCTATATCTGAAAATCCAAAAATTGTCAAGAGGCAAATTGCAAATTACACCTTCCATTCCCTCCAGGACTCCTTTGAAGAGAGAGTCTCTGAGGTTATGAGTTTTTAGATCTTTTCTTATGGGAAAGACTGGAGAACTGAGAAACTTAAAGCTAAAGCATTAGGATCTGGTGACTGAAAATCACATTAAGTCTGGGTGCTGGGTATATAGGGTGTTTGTTATGTAATTTTCAATATTTTCCAGTGTTTGAAAAACTTGCTTCTCTCATCCATTCACACTACACATACATTTTCATACCCAGGCAAGATCAAGCCTGAAGAGATAACCTGTCTTATAATCAGTAAGAGGTGCTGTTGACAATAAGTAAGAAAATTTGGGGCAGGTAAATCATACCTCTCCTTGGCTCTCAGTTTATCTCTATATAAAATGCGGGGAGGGAACTAGATGGTTTTGGGGGCCCTTCTACTTCTAATGCCTTACTAGTCTAGAGAAGTAGGGGGCACCTAGTCACATTTTAAAGGTTTTCTCTTTATAAAGGATTCTTTTCAGATTTCCTGCATTTCTTTAGTGCATTTAAAACTATGACTTGGGGGATGCCTGGGTGGCTCAGTCAGTTGACTGTCTGATTTTGACTCCAGTCGAAGATCTCAGGGTCCTGGGATCGAGTCCCGCATCGGGCTCCCTGCTCAGCAGGGAGTCTGCTTCTCCCTCTAACCCTCAGCCCACTTGTGCTCTCTCTCTCTCTCAAATAAATAAATAAATAATAAAGTCTAAAAAAAGAAAACCCCATGACTTGGTTTACCAAAATCTGGTTACTATATTTTTATTATTAATAAAAGCAGCTAATACTTGTTAAGCAAGTTCAATATGCCAGGCACATATAAAATGTTTTATACAGATTATTTGATTTAATCTGCCCAATCCAATAACACCAGGAGATAGATACCGATATTGTCCCCATGTGTAGATAGGTCAATTGGCCCCCCTAGGCTATCTAACCTGCCTAAGCAACACTGGAGTTCAAACTCTCTTCAATGCAATCTATGGCTCTAGAATACTGTTAATCCTGCATTTCTCACAGACGGGCTGCTCAGATCAAGGTGTGTTCAGTGGTCCTTCCCTACTTGAACAGTCATGGTCCTCTGTGCCTCCCTGCCTTCTCAAGTGGGGTGACCAACTGGGAATGGGGTAATTCCTCTGGTTTCAACTTAATTTCTGTGGCATAACATGGTCATATTTTCATTAAGAAATTCTTTCTGATCTTTCCTGGACAAGTAACAGTGGATTTCACTAGTTATTTTGAGTCATTGGACAATGATCAGGTGAGCAGAAAACGGTTCAGATTTGCTTTGAATTCCTAATTTAGTTCTTTGGGTCTATCATCTAAATATCACAGCATCTACGGCAAGACTTTTCATTATTTTGCAACAGATCAAGGTAAAAAGAATGCCATATGCAGGAAAATCATGTAAGATTAATTTCACATCTTCATAATGTTCACATTCATTATTTTCACTTTTTCACAAGAACTGTGTGAGGTGGGCAAGTCAGGAATTATTTACCTACCTTGCAAATGAAGAAAGAGTCACATAAAGGGGAGGTGACTTATTCTAGGACATGGACCGGTTAGGTCCTAGACCTAGGGTTCTTTCTACACTATGTCACTTCCATATGGAAAAAGGGCCATCAGACTCAGGTACTTTTTGGCAGACAGAAATAAATGGCTGTTCTACCAGAGGCTACGCCATGCCAGGCTGTGGCCATGGGGCTCCCTCTATAATTCGCAACTATGCTACAGGATGAGGATAGTAGGACCAATCATGCCCCCTACTCATACCTGTGCAGTGTGATAAAGAAAGTAGAAGTAGCCAACAGCTGTGGTCCAACCAGATAAAACTTTTAGGCGGGAAGTTAAGTGACAAGTAAATTTGTGTGCCTGTGTGTCTGTGTGTGTTTAACTGTTAGGTGCTTTTGATATTTTTAAAAAGGTTACTTGTGGAAGTCAGACCAAACAGCAGGAAGGTATTACAGCAAGATGGATTTGGGAAAGGACCAATCCCACTTGAAACTCCATCAGACACCTAATCCTCATCAAGAAGAGAACCATGTTCCAGGTAATGAAAGAGATCTTGAGAGGTCTCTAGTGGCCACTCAGATGTCTTAGTGACTGTTGGGAAGAACTGAGGCTGTGATTATTTTCCTAATTTTTATGAATCTGGCTCCAAAAAAGGACATAATTGAGTATGTTCACATAACCTTAGATGGGAAGGATTGGGGTTGTATACCTTCTGAGGTGACTTCTAGTGCATTGATTCTAGTAAGCCAGAGAAACACAAGGAGATAGCAAGTAAATTATTAATAATATATTCAAGTGAAAGAAAATGAAAATACCCAGTATTGGATGGTTGTGGTAAAACAAGTACACACTTATACTTCTATGGTAATGTAAATTTGGTATGATTTTTGGAAAGAGATCTGGTCCACCTATTACCACATCTGTAATAGTCGCTTATTCTTTTGACTCACTAATCTTAGTTTTGATTCTGTCCTAAAGTGGCATTTCTCAAAACGTTTTTTGCAGAACCCTAGGCCTTGAGACAGTTTTTAAAACTTTTTTGTGCCATGGATCCCTTTGGCATTCTGATGAACCTTTAGACCCCTTTTTAAAATAAATATTTTAAATACATAAATTTAAATACATAAATACATTGATAGGATTCCAAAGGAAACAACTGTATGATACAGTTATCAAAATGAAAAATTGTGATACAACAATATATATGCTTATTTACGGATGTATTAAATAACAAGATTATATTAAGGTGGGTCTAAAACCATTGTATCAAATCAAATATATTATCTCAAATAAATTATATTTTAAGGTATCTGAAACAACTGTATTGTAATATGAAAAAAATCTGATTTCTTTTGGTGACAAAGTCACTTACTGCACAAAAATTGCTGTGGTTTGTCACCTACATTCATAATTGAAGGAAATTTAATTAGACATAGGTAAAAATAAAGGTATAATATTCTTCCATCTAAGTTCACCATAAGAACTTCTGTCCTAAGAACAAAAGATGCTGTGGTCCAAGGGCATGCTCTGGCTCTTGGGGATCTCAGTGCAAGTTTGTAATCACTTTACAGGCTCTAAGAAGACCCATTAACTTTTCACAAAAAAACAAAAAGTCAACAGAACCTTTTTTTTGATAACTTTCCAAAGAACTTGGAGAAACATCATCCTAAGGAAAAAAATTCAAAAGGAAAAAAGCTGTATGCATGAATATTCTTATTATAATTTGATCTACAATGGCAAAAAAAACACAAAAAACCCTTAAAATTGGCAACAACCAATACAAGTGGAATGACTGGGCAAACAGGAATACATCAACTTGATTAAAGTTATAAGGACTATCTCATAGAAAATATATCTGACATAATGTTAGATTAATAATGATATATAGTATGCTATCATTACAAATTTGTGTAATATATGGGCTAGATGGGTATGAGAAATAAAATGAAAATGGGTTATAATGTTAAGGATGGCAGAACATGGCTAATTTTTTTCTTTTATGTTACTATAATATGTAAAATTATTTTGAAGAAATTAATGGGTTGATAGCACACTTACGTACTGACCCTTTCGTTTAAAAATGTTTACTGAATGTTTGTTGCTAGGCGTTCTTTGGAGGTGCAAGGATAAATAAGATATGGTCCTTGTCCCCCCAAAGCTAGGAACAAAACAGACACCTAGTATAGGGGTTCTACCACTCTGCCATAGGACTCTTGCTGATAAATGCCACAATTTATCACGCATCCTCTAACTTCCATTTTGATCCTACAGAAGTCATTGGAACTTGGAATTTGCGAAACAGAGAGCAACTCAGAAAAAGAAAAGCTGAAGCACAAGAGAAGCAAAATTTGCAATGGCATTTTGGGTATAGTATCATTGCAAGGGAAAAGGAACTGATATTTGTCAAGTATATGCTATGGGTCAAGTAGCGCTGAGTGCTTTTACATACTATATTTATCTTTCCAACAATCCCATAAATTGGAAGCTGTTATCCCTATTTTACAAAAAAAAAAAAAAAAAAAAAGGAACCAAGTCTTCAAAGGTTAAATCTCTTGCCTAAAGTACGTAGCTAGTAAAGGGGTTGGAACAGAATTTTATTCCTGTTCTTTTTATTTTTTTTAAAAGATTTTATTTACTTATTTGTCAGAGAGAGAGAGAGAGAGCACAAGCAGGGGGAGTGGCAGGCAGAGGGAGAAGCAGGCTCCCTGTTGAGCAAGGAGCCTGATGTGGGACTCGATCCCAGAACCCTGGGATCATGACCTGAGCTGAAGGCAGATGCTTAACTGACTGAGCCACCTAGGCATCCCTATTCCTGTTCTTTTTAAATAAAAGCCCCAGGCAGTTGAATTATATTGTAGAGAGGTCTGGTGTTCTATTACTCTGGTGATATAAACATAGAAGCATCTTTTTGGGAGCAGGAGATAACTTTGAGGAGAACTTCAAGTTAGTTTTCCACGCTTTCAATTAGTAAAATCCTAATTGAATGAGTGCGTTAACTCTCCATGGAGTAAACCATGGAAATAAGTGATGGAAGAGTTTAGGAGTTTTTAAATCTCCAAGCAAAGTCACCTGTATGTAATCTCAGGGGGGGAGTACAAGACCATGATTATAAATGAGGCAGCTTCTAAGTGCATCCATTTAGAATAGGAGTATGAAAACAGAGGTACTTGGAGATGCTTGGAGATAGAAATAGGGAGCCCAAGGAGCCAACGTGCAACACCCATCTAAGCCAGAGTATCTCAACCTGGGCACGATTGATGCTGTGGGCAGGATAATTCTTTGTGTGGGAGGCTGTTCTGTGCATTGTAGATGTTTAGCAGCATCTCTGGCAGCTAGAAAGTAATAGCACTCCCCCACCCACATTGTGACAATCAAAAATGTTTCCAGACATTGTCAAATGTCTCCTGGCATGGGACATGGGGAGGGGGGTACTGAAGGGGCAAAATTGCCCCCAGTTGAGAACCACTCATCTAAACACTCTTGTATTATTATTATTGTTGTTGTTGTTGTTAAATCAGCAGTTAGATTTGCATTTCTTCATTGCTGCAAAAATGTTTCTTTCGATGGCAAAGATAAAATAGGTATACATATTTCCAGGCATCGTTTAAAAAAAAGTACAACCTAGAAGTTTTAGCACTTTTCTGGAGAAAGGGCACCTATCACCCCAGTGGACTGAGTTACCAGCTATTCTGCTCCAGCACCAATCAGCTCACATATGATTGGTAAATAGGAGAATGATGTCAGTATAATATAGAAGTTGTACTGGTTCGAGATTTTTCCTAGTCAAAAGGGAATGCAATTAAAACCTTTGGTGGGAAAGGGGAAAGCCTTCAGCTTGGCTGCTGCATAAGCAGGGTCCTTTTCAGCCTGTCTCCAAGGCTCCTTCCCCAGGGGACAGGACTGGCCCTGCACAGCTCTCCACATGTAGGTTGCACTTGCCCAAGCCCTGTGCCCAGCCCAAGGACAGCCCTGCTGGCTCAGAGCACCACCAGCATTTGCATGATCTCAGCAGCCGAAAGCCTGCATTTACACTGTTGTTTTGTGTATTTTTGCTATGCCCCAGGCAGCCTCCAGCCAGGGTAAGCTGCCTGTCTGTGCTACTCAATTTATCTCCCGGGTACCCATTATTGTTTTTGTTAGTGTTAAAAAGTGGCACAGGGGGCGCCTCCATGGCTCAGTCGGTTAAGCCCCCAACTTCTGATCTGGCTCAGGTCTTGATCTCAGGGTTGAGGGTTCAAGCCCTGCATTGGGCCTACTTAATAAAAAAAAAGTTGCACAGGATTTGAGTCATTTGCCTTAACTCTATTTTTCCCCACAAGCACTGTACTTTTAGTGTATGATTTTGAAGAAAGGTTTTCCAGGAATTACGTTATATTATGTTATAGCAGAAACTTCTATACTCGAGTCCTGTGGCGGGTGACTCTATCGAAGAATATCCTATTAGCTCCCCTAATTCCATACTCTCCAAGCAATGTTCTGATCATTACTTGGCTTCTCAAATACTTGCTACAGAGAAAGAATTACATTCATCTGTTAGTCCAAACATCCTCCGCTATGTGACTCTGCTTTTCTCACTGTTCACTTAAAAATTGGTCTTTAGGTTTAATATTAGTCTCTCTGAGCTGGTTGATGAGTTCTATCCCTGATAAATGGAGTTAGTCTCAGTGTGCTGATAGAATTGGGTTTCTGAGGTTGCTGGGTTGGGGCGGGGGCAAGGCTGAAAAAGTCACTGAAGTAGATGACACCTTGGTGAGCCTCTTGGCAGCTGGCTGGCCATGCTCTTGTGACACATCTCTATAATACTGAGGGCTGTTCTTACTACAACATACCACACAGTGAAACCTTATTGGTTCCAGAGAGAAGCAGGGGAGTGTAATGGTTGAGAGCCCTGGCTGTTAAAGCCAGAATGACTAGATTTGAAGCGTGGCTCCCCCACTTCTAGCCAATTGGCCTTGAACAAGAAAGTGCCTCGGTTTTGTCATCTGCAAAATGGAGATAATAATAGTATCTGCCTCATAAGTGGATGATGTGAAGATTATACGAGATAACAGAATAAGTAAATTGCTCAAAACAGTGCCTGGCTCATAGGAAGCCCTGTGCTTCCTGTATTGATATGAATACTAATTTATAGTTGAATAATTCATTCATCCAAGTTATTATATGCAATTCTTTTTTTTTTTTAAGATTTATTTATTAGAGAGAGCGAGAATGAGAGAGAGAGAGTACATGAGAGGGGGGAGGGTTAGAGGGAGAAGCAGGCTCCTCGCTGAGCTGGGAGCCTGATGCGTGACTCGATCCAGGGACTCCAGGATCATGACCTGAGCCGAAGGCAGTCGCTTAACCAACTGAGCCACCCAGGCGCCCCTGCAATTCTTTTTTTTAAATTAATTTATTTAGTTTTAGAGAGAGAGTGCATGAGTGGGGGGAACAGATGAGGGGAAGCAGACTCCCTGCTGAGCAGGGAACTCAACATGGGGCTCAATCTCAGGACCCTGAGATTATGACCTGAGCCAAAACCAAGCACTGGATACTTAACCCACTGAGCTACCCAGGCGCCCTTATTATATGCAATTCTTTCAACAACCACCTGAAGTTGGACAGATACCATTTACTCCATTTTACCTATGAATAAACCACGGCACAGAGAGTTTAAATGACTTGTCCATGATCACATAGCTGATCAGTGACAGAGTCTGGATTAAATTTTAGGCCACATAGATATATTTGCATCTTTTGAAAAACTACCATGAAGAACATGGAACATAACTCAGAATCCCTCAGATAGAGATCTACCTAACAAATTATTTAGGATTTAATATCTAGGATGAAGTAAGTGTTTCCCGAAAAAGTCACATACACCATCTTTTAAAAATCTGACAATAAGGACTTTATAAATTATCTTGTGTCCTTTGTTACTTGGAATGAAACTCTAAAATGCTGAAGTGTCATCCTATCATTTTTACACAACATTTTCTTCTATATTATTTTAATACTTATTTTTGACTGTCTTATTACATATGTAACTTTTTAAATTGATTTCAAACTGGTTTTTGTGAGGCAACCTTTAAAAAAAATTTAACTATGGAAATCTTCAAACATAAACAAAAGTAGAATAGGGTACCCATTTAAGTGTGCAAGGAATTACGAGCACTGCAGAAACATAAGAGCACTGGTTTTATCTAGTTTGCTAAAAGAAATACGAATATTTACTATAAGAATATTCCCCCAGAAGTAATGAGAGTCTGAGGCAGGCTGTGTTCCTCACCTAAAAGCATGACCCTCATCATAAATCCTGAGCAAGGAGAGCATTTCAGCCTGTGATCTCTAAGAAAAGGCTCCACAGAGCAGGTAGCCTGGCACAGAATTTCAATAGGTTTAGAAAAATGATGAAATGTTTATTTATAGTACCTCTTCCTCCCCCAAGCCCCCAGCCCATCTGCATTAGCCACCTGTATTTGGTTATGGTGGCAGTACCTACAACTTGTCATTGGCCGCAATTTCCATGCGTATCCTTTTATCTTTTAGATCCTTCATCTAGCTATTAATTTGGAGTAGGTATAATATGGCCACTCATGCCTTTCCACCAGGCTTCTTTACTTCCAGAAATGGTTTTGCAGCTTTTGACCCAGCTTACAGTACATCTCATTTGACATGTATCGTGGCTATTTAGGATTCTGTACACAGGACACTGAATTAGATAAGCAATTAGATATACATCTTCTGTCTACAGGCTGCACAGACAAGGAGCTGTGCCTGGATTGCAGATCTAGAAACACAATTGTATCCGTTTGCCCAGGGCATAGTGGGACTAACTCAAACAGACTAGACCCAAAGAGACTACTGTATAAACCAGCATGCCAATCTATTCTTTTATAACATGAGTTATACGTTTCCCATAACCAATCTTTAAGTGTATGCTCTCAAACACACACATGCGCTCTACACTCACCAAGAAGATTCTGTGTGAGCCAGGTGTCAGAGACAAAAAGTCCCCGAGGGACATTTCATCTCCTGACAATGGAGAACATCTAGCACTACTCCTTCATTTTACAAACAAGGAGGTGGAGGCCTAGAGAGATTAAGCCATTTGTTCGTGGTCTTGCAACAGGGCAGGCAGCAGGAGACCTGGGGCTGTTACCGCAAAGCATTTCTTCCAATCCTGTAGCCCCGTTGTTGACACTAATTCTGATCTTCCACAGAGAGAAAAAATACAAGCGGCGAAGGACAGGAAAAGGAAATAAAAGAGGCAGAAAGAGACAACAAAATACAGAACTGAAGGAGGAACCTCAGTCACAATTTAAAAAGGACATGATGGAGAAAGCACTGGCACCTATGGAGAAAGAAACTGAACCGCCTAGGAGTATAACTGAAGTGCTGTCTCTGGTAGCCTCTCCCAAAAAAGTTGTGCTTGAGAGACAATTTTCTGCAGTGGATCAAGAAAGCATTATACATCAGGAAAATTCTTCTGAGTTACAAGAAACAGTGGTACAAAACCATCCTTCTGAAACATGCCAAGATGTGGCTGAACCTGAAGCCCTCTCTCCTAAAATATGCCAAAAAATGGCTGTACTTCAAGGCCATCCTTCTAAAATGTGTCCAGATATGGCTGAACCTGAAGCCCTCTCTCTCACAATGTGCCAAGAAACAGCTGTATTTCAAAACCATCCTTCCGGATTGTGCCCTGATACGGCTGAACCTGAAGCCCTCTTTCCTAAAATGTGCCAAGAAACAGCTGTAGTCAAAGTCCTTCCTTCTAAAACACCTGAAGACATAGCTGACCTGGAAGGATGCTCTCTTGAAGCATTCCCCAAACCAGGTATGCCTAAAGGGTATGCTCTTGAAACATACCAAAAAAGAGCTGAACCTGAGGAATATAATTCTGAACCAGATCAAGGAATGGCTGAGGTTGAAAGCTTCTTTCCTAAAACAGAAGAAATAGATGTGCCTAAAGACCTTTCTACAAAAACACACCAAGAAACAGTTGAACCTGAATACTTCTCTTATGAAACATATAAAGAAATTGCTGTGCCTAAAGCATCCTCTCATAACACAGTCCAAGAAATGCCTGCTCCTGAGGAATATCCACCTGAAATATATCAAGAAACACCTGGGCCTGAGGACTGTTCACCTGAAATATACCAAGAAACACCTGGACCTGAGGATTGTTCACCTGAAATATACCAAGAAACACCTGGGCCTGAGGATTGTTCACCTGAAATATACCAAGAAACACCTGGGCCTGA